CTCTCTTTCTCTCTCTCCCTCTCCCGCCATGAACACCCATACCATACCTCTGCTCATACCAATAGTGTCCATCTGGCCAGTACTGTCAGGTACTGGGTGGACCTGTGCGCTTCCCCCTAGAGCCAAGAGTGGACAGCCCCAGACCTGCGAGTAGGTCTCCTTGACCCACTCAGGTCACCCTGGAGGTGTGCTGGGCCATGCTTGCTCATCACAAAGAGATCACCATAGTACCCTGGCCATGGGTGGGCTTCTGGTTGGTGCGTCCAGCTGCATGGTGCAGGCATTTCTCTGGAATCTGGGGTTAGGATACCCACTGCCCATGGCTTGCTGAGTCCCACCCACCTCGGGCCGCATGGCAAAGGGGGTGAGGCATTTCTCTGGAATCTGGTCAGGAGCCCCACTCTATTTCTTTTTGAGACATGTCTCTCACTGAATCTCATTGACTGGCTAGGCTGGCTGGTCAATGATCACTGGGCATCTATGTAGTAAGCTTTGTCAGGACAGCCAGCCCACAAATAATGACATGGGACTTAGTATTATTTATGAAAGCTTGGCCTTTAGCTTAGGCTTGCCCACAACTAGCTCTTATAACTTAAGTTAATCTGTTTCTGTTGATCTATGTTCTACCAGGAGACTCGTTACCTATTTCCATACTGCCCATCCTGCTTCCTCAGTGTCTGGCTAGTGACTCTGTCTTTGTTCTTCCCAGAGTCCTCTCTGTCCCTTAAGTCCCACCTAGCCTTTTCCTGCCTAGCTATTGGCCATTCAGCTCTTTATTAAACCAATTAGAAGGCGCCTTGGCAAAGACACATCTTCACAGTGTAGACAAATATTCCACAACAGATCTGTTTCCACTGTCTATCGCTGGAGTGACAGACACTCACCTTTGTGTCTAGCATTTACATGAGTCCTGGGGATCTGAACTCAGGTCCTTATGCTTACCACCACAGGCACTTTAGGGACTGAACCATCCCTCCAGTCCCTCTCCCCTTATTTTAAATCAGTATTCTATAGTGAACATTGCTGTAAATATGTACTCATCCTTTCCTCTGATTATTCCCTGATCCTAAATCCTAGGTGGGGATGGCTATACCAAAGGACCCATGCTTTGGGTTTGTATGCTTTCTAGAAAGGCCAGAGTATTTTCTGCTCTTATGAGCAATGTCTCAAAGCCTCTTTAATTTTAGTTCCTTGATTAGGGTAACTATAATTTGTTTTAATAATGTAACTATTTTGTAATCTGTGTTATTATCAGTAATAGTCTTTCTGCATTTTTGTTGTATTAATGTTATAAAATAATGTACTTAATGTAACATTTTCTGTACTTTATTTTTTTACATTTTATTTATTGTGTGTGTGTAGTGTATATGTGAACATGAACATGTGGCATGTGTAGAGGTCAGAGAACAACTTGTAGGAGTTGGTTCTCTTTCTATGGTGTAGATTTTGGAGATTAAACTCGGGTCGTCAGGATGGGTAGCAAGCACTTTTACCTGCTGAGCAATCCCACCAACTTTCATTAAGACATTTTTATGTTATTTTGTGTTACTAGGCACGAATCATAGGGCTTTCACATGCTATCAAGTGCTCTGTCACTGAACTGTGTCTCCAGTCCTCATTATGACACTTTCATATATGTATATAACATAGTTTGATCTTATTCACCCCCTCAGCAACACTCTTGATGTAATCAGGATTGGTGTTTTGATCAGGAAATTCTTCCATGTTCTAAGAGAAACCTGATTTGCAACTTTCACCAACAATGATTTCTTGTAGTTTAATGTCCTTTTATTTTTTTATTTTTATTTTTTATTTAAAAAAAAACTTGCTCCCAGCACTCGGGAGGCAGAGCCAGGCGGATCTCTGTGAGTTCGAGGCCAGCCTGGGCTACCAAGTGAGCTCCAGGAAAGGCGCAAAGCTACGCA